ATTGTTAAATCTTATAATTGGTACTATATTTTGAACATTTCACAGAATTTTTTATATTTAATCTATTTTATGAATTTTTATATTTTGAAATTTTTTATAAATGTATAAAAATTTATCCGTTAATGATACTAGGGGATTCAGAGGATTAAGAAATCTTAATAATCGAAATACTCAAAGTTACAGCAATACTTGTTATTTTCAAAGATAATATAATTATGATCTGTGAAATATCAATGAATTAATTACTGAAAAATGCACGTTCTATCTATGGGACCGTAATATATAATTTAATTTTTACAAAAAATTATATTATAATATAAGAGGAATGAAAGCTCATTTTTCATTTTATAACATTATTTGGTCGTTTGTGTTATTTAAAATTTTTCTATCAATGATATTCATTTTGTTCAAATTATTCTAAAATATTTATAGAAATGAAAAAGCTGATCACCGACATCATGGTGTAAATTTGATTCTTAACAATTCTAGCAAGAATTAGAGAATTAACAAATAAGATACGAACCTTATGATATAATTTTGAATTATAAACGATACGACGAAAGTCTCTAACCACATGTTCTACTTTATGGTAAACTCGATTCTTCAGTTTGTATTCCACCGTTTCCAGGAACATTGGACTTTTAATAACTTTACAATAGTCTTCGATCTGAAAGGAAATTGCGCGACTATCAATTTAGTGTTTAAAAAAGAAATTATATTATATTACATTACATTACATTATACATTTATATAAAAACTAACTGTGTATGAAGAAGATTGCTTGTCACTGTTGTTTTCTGAAGATGGACATTTGAAAATTTCTGCTTCTTCCATTTGCCAAACTGTCTGATGTATCATTTCTAATTTGCTCAGCGCAAGCGGACTGAGACTTTGTTTCCTTTTCGAACTATACCATACGGACCAACCTCTGTCGCTGACCTTTCCACCAAATTTCCCATCTAAAAATTCGATGCATCCGGCATTTTCCTTTTTCTTCCCGTGTTTTACCGCGACTGTGGATTTCGATCTTTCCTCCACTTGAGAATCGTTGACATCGCAATTTTTCGTTGTTCTCTTGCCGGGACATTTACGAGATCTGTTATGTAAGAGATAATACGATTTTTCGAAATCTTTTCTCTGACACTTGCGTCCAGGGATCGGTATTACAGTGCTGCAGATCGTTGATACATTGGCGATATTCAATTTGCTTTTCTTACAAAATTCTTTCTTCTCCGAAAGCGAAGTACTTAAGGACGTGTAACGTCGTACAGTCTCCGAGTAAGTGGCTTTTCCTATGACACGTTTGGTCTCTTCCGACGTTGTTTGGTCATTGTTCAATGAAATGCACGAACTTTTCCTCGAGTTAATAGTCTGTTGAAGATTTTTCACTGTTGTTGTTGTTGCTGCGACTGTTGTTACAGTGCTATTGGTCACTAGCGAAACAACAGGAATCGTCTGTTCATTTTCTGTTACGGAACTGTTTGATGATTCGGAATTATGTGGAACGGCACTGTTTTTCCGTCGTTTCTGTTTATTTGCCATATTAGCGTTGTTCAATGTTTTGATCAACCACGAGTCCGTTTTTACATTCATTTTACTAGAACCTGTTAACGGGTAGCTGCATAAAATATTGCGATATTTAATGCTGGAAGAACGGAAGTATTGCCTTAACCCTAGAATAACATTATTTTATTTTTGCACGTATATGACACTGT